TCACTCTTAACATTCATTTTGATCTGATTTGGATTTTCACCTTCAGTAAAAAGTGTTTCCTCTCCCTCTCTCTTAAGAAATGCCTGCCTAGCCAGGCACTGGTGGCTCATACCTGTAATCCCACCTATTTGAGATCAGGAGGATCACAGTTCCAGGCCAGTCCAGCCACATAGTTGCAAGGCCAAATAACCAGAGAAAAATGGACTGGAGGTGTGGCTCAAGTGGGAAAGGGCCTCCAAGTGTGAAGCCCTGAGTTCAAATCCCAGCCATTCCCTCCCAAAAACGAAGTGCCTGCCTGAGGAATGATGGCTAAAGAAGTACACCCATCAACCAGCTTTATTTCAGAGCTACAGAAACAGTACACAAGAAACCTGGACAAAAGCTAAATGTTGCTCTAATGCTCTGGTGTAAAGGAAAAAGCAAACCAAAGGAAATCACCACCACCACCACCATAATGAAAGAACAAAAGTCTGGTTATTTTAACAATCACCAGAACAGTGCTTTTATCCCAGACACTTAGAAACTGCTTTTGCTAAAAAGTAGATTCTTTACTTGGGCCCATAAATTACCTAAAACCAGTAGAAAAGCTTGGCATCCCTGCCTCCATTTTGTATCTTCTGCTCTGAGCCATTCGCCTTGCAGCTACCTTGAAATTCAGGAAGGACAGGACTAATGGATGATAAATTCTTTACAAGGAGATGGAAGGTACTGCCTTCAAGGAAAGGAACAGCAGAGCCTCCGCAGGCAAAGACTTGCTTACCCTGACCAGCTTGCTCCCCTCAGGTGATGCGTGTGATAACCTCTCCCAGAACCAGTACTGAGATAATGACCAAGCAGGTCACACCCTGACTAGGTTAAATCTTGACGGTGTGGCTATGCATACATCTCCCCCTCTCTGTTTAAACCAGTTCATGTCTGTGACCTGGTGATGGGCTGAAGTGCTTACTTTACCTCTTCCCATGGCCTGTCCTTCACCACAACTCATCTCTTTATTTGGCATGTTGGGATGGATGGCCAGACCTCATGTGTGCAACTCCTGGAGTTGGGCCTGAACGTTCACAGTTATTCCCTAAAAAGACATTCTATTGTACATTGGCAGTAAAGTCCCCCTCTCCCTTCTATTTTTATAAAGAGGCCCAGTAACTTCCAAAGTAGAGGCTCTCTGGCAAAGCTGAGTTGGAGGGCAACAAAGCTGAAGCCTGAGGTCAAAGTTGAGTCGCTACTGCAGCCTCTCAAGTCAAGGCTTAGTGTCTGCCGGAGGATGGAGGATTCTCCAAGCAGACATTGAGCAAACCTGCCCTGCCAACTGACCAATGGATCATAACTGTCTCAAAACTTTTGTTGTCCAGTAGTGTATTTCCCAATGGAGCATGAGCGGGGGAAGGAAGGGGTCCCAGGCCTTCTGCCTCCTTGCTGCAGGCAGCAGTAGCTGTGGGGGTGGAGTGGGCTGTCTATCTCACAAGGGAAGTCAGATTAATGAATCCTCGCCCTTCTTTAAGAACAAGTACACAGTGTGGGAGGGTAAATACGGTGCAAATACTGTGCACATGTATGTAAAAGAGAAAATGAGACCTGTTGAAATTACTTCAGGAATGAGGAGAGGGAGGATACAGGAGAAGGATGGAGGGGGTGAATTCATACTCTGTAAGAACTTTTATAAAAGTCACAATGTACCCCCACCCACCACAGTAAGAAAAAAAAAAAAAAAGAACAAGTATGCAAAAAAGAGATAGGGGAAAGGTTCCCTGAAATGCTTTCTTGTTAGGGAACACTTAAACCCCCAGGAATCTACAGCAAACGACTTTCCTGAGAAAAGACTTAAATAAGACTTAAAAATTAAAAACACTGATTATATTATTAAACTAGGCATAAACTTACATTCTGAGATATTAAACATAAAAGGTAAATTTTATTGGAAGTATATCTAATGTGATTGATGCTTTTTTCAAAATGAGACCATGTTTCATGGATGAATACTGTAATTTCTGGAGTTAGACAAAGTTCAATGGAAACCAATAGCAAAAGGTTATCAAGCCCTTCTGGGTCTTAAAAGTACATATTACTCATTGACATTATAGAATATTATAGACTACAGAAGCTATCATATACTCTACATGGAAAAGATGAATACAGAACAAAGTAATTAATAATTTAAACTAACCAGTAAACTTCTACAGTTAAAAAAAGATTTAAATATTCTAATAGTCTTGGGCAAATGTTTCTCCTAATAATCAGAAAATAGCTTTATTTAAAGTCACAGTGTTGCAAGATTGACCTATTGAGAGTAAACCTTAAAGCTTTCTCCTCCTTATATAAAATAATGCAAAATAAATTGGACACTGGTGGCTCACGCCTATAATCCTAGCTACTTGGGAGGTTGAGATTGGGAGGATTGTGGTTTGAGGCCAGCCCAGGCAAACAGTTCATGAGACCCTACCTCCAAAACAACCAGCACAAAACAGACTGGAGGAGATGTGGCTCAAGTAGTAGTGTGAAGTTCTGGATTCAAACCCTAGTCCCACCAAATAAATTAAATAAATTATATGAAATATTAAATGTGATGCAAGTTGGTATCTTTGCATAGGCTTTCAGAGAGTAATGTGTCAAATTTTTGCTTTACATGCCCTGGAGATTTTCTGACTCTAGGAGAATACACACTACAGCCAGGTTAGAATGGTTAAAACATAAACCTGCTCTTCGTAAAGAACAGCAATTGTGAAAGAGAACTTAAAAAGAACTCACTAAGTCCATCCTGACTTCAGGCAGCTGTTTGAAGAGGAAGCAAGCATTTATGCAGAGAAATTTGGAAACAATTGTCTAAATTAAAGTACTGATGTCTACAAGCTAGAATTCATGGGAAGTCTTTCTGAAACTCAAGGTAAGAGTTTAAAGACTATTGGTTTTTTATTTTTTGCAGTGATGTGGACTGAATCCAAGGCCTCCTGCACGCTAGGCAAGTGCTCTGCCACTGAGCTACATCCCAGCCTTAAGGAATATTCTTAAAGACTGTTGTACATAATGTCAAATAAACAGAATTACTTCTATCTGTCGATCTAAAACAAACACAATGAAACAGATTTTTAGATACAAGATAAAAATAAAAATTGTTTCAGAAAAATGACAGAGTCATTTGTAGGAGTTACACATTTTCTTTGCTTTAACTGAGATTCAATAATCAGTGGACCCACGTCAGAAATGCACCCCATACACTGCTGAATTTAAATCTCCCACTCCCAGAATTTCGGTCTTGGCACTCCAGTCTACCTCGTTAGCACTGCTGGCACACTCCCTCAAATGAAACAAGGGTCATTATCAGCGGAAGGAGACCCCAAAGTTTGTCACAATCCTTCCAACAACTACATTAGAAGTGAAGGTTTACTCTAAAAAGTTCTACTCTGAAAACAGATCTCAACTGTTACAGAAGTGAACTTCTAAAACCTACTCACCTTGTGAAAATCTAAATAACAAGCAATACTATCATCCCCTTTAAGGCAAATTCAACCCAACTGTCCAAGGCCATGGAAATCACTGACAAGGATAAGCATAAGGACCATGTACATGATGTCATTTTTTTCATTACACTGTTCCAGGATTTCTCAAATGCATTAAGTCATCCTCTGGATTTACTTGGACTATGTCTTCAGTATCTACCAGATAAAGACTAAGACAGACCCATGTTTGAAGGAACTGTTCACTGTATTACACAGAGAACAGTGAGCTGATACGCCAAACCAGTTTCACTTGAGTCACAACCTCAGCTGCCTTACAGGGATCAGGAAGCCGTCTAAATGTGGAAGCTGGTTGAGCCTAAAATAACAGAATGATGAAAGTACATTCCACTCTAAAGGCACTCAATTATTTTTAAATACAAGACAAAGACGTCCCTATGGATGAATTTGGCCAGATGATAGGGTTAAAAATTTGAACTCGTTGTTTGGCTTTCAAAATGTATTTACAGATTGAAATTTAGTATTGGTCTAGTGCCCACTAGGTAAGGTACATATAATTAGAATGAGACAAGTCTGTGAAATGTTGACACAGCAAGCACATTTGCACAAGGTTGTCTTATTATACATTACATGTGATTTCAGCAGTGATCAGAACTGCACAATAGTCCCTCTTATCCGTGGGGGATATTCTAAGGCCCCTTCCCCCAGCAGATGACTAAAAGTGCAAATACTGAAATCTCATGCTTTTTCCTGTTTATACATGTGACAAAGTTAATTTGTAGATTAAGCACAGAAAGGAATTAACACTAATGATAAAGTAGGACAATTACAGCCATGCCATGCACTGTGTGGCGTTTTGATCAATGGCAGACTGCATATGACAACTGTCCTGTAAGATTGTAACAGATCAGAAAAATGTGCTGTCTGTGTGGACACAGATGCAAACACCACTATGGTGCTGCCGGCTGTGCAAAAGCATGGCATGTATGGTTTCCCACAGCACATAACCTTGAGAACGAGGCTGGAGAAGTAGTCAGTGCTAAAGCACTTCCTAGCACTAGGCTGATTCCCAGCACTGCAAAAGACAAAACGAAAAAACCCTATTACTGGTTTATGTATTTATTCTACTGCATTTTTTCATTATTCTCCAACCACATATAAAAATCAAAGTTGAATATAAAACAATATGGTGTTTACACTGGTAGCAGCTGTGTTTACTGTGTCTCTTTCCTGTATAACCTACACCACATGCATCTGTGTAAGTGCTGTTTGCACACAAGGAAAGAGCCTAATGATGTATTTCCCAGAACATATCCCCAGGGTTAAGCGATGCATGACCGTGTCATAAAACTTATGTGAATGTGGTCTCTGTTAAAATCTTACCAAAGTTGTGCTCACCCTCCTTGTACTGTGAGATGGCACTTGAAGGAAGCACTTCAGAGCTTCTCTCTGGCACATCTGAACTGCCAGCACCACTGCTCTTGTACACTGGGGACATTAAGTAAAATAAGGGTGACCGGAACACAAGCTCTAAAATACTATGATAGCTGATGTGACAGCCAAGGCAGCTACTGAGTGACCAGCAGGCAGGCGGCATACACAATGTGGACACTCTGGACAACCGGTTGGGGCAGATCAGACGGTATGAGGCTTCATTACGTTCAGAATTGAGTGCTACTTACAACCTGTGAATTACTTGTCTCAGACTCCATTTAGTGTTTTCAGACCATGCTTGACTCCTGAACTGAAACATCTGAAAGTGAAACTGTGGGTTGAGGGTGTGGCTCAAGTGGTAGAGCACTTGCCTACCAATGATGAGACCTGAGCACAAACTCCAGTACCTCCAAAAACAAAACATTTACTTCGGGTACAAAGAAAATTTTATTTCAATACCTTAATATTGAAATCAGCTATTATACATATCCATCAACTTTTATACACTATATCTCAGGAGATAATGAAGTAAGATTTTGATGAAGCACTCTCAGCAAACACCATTTAATCTCCAAATTCAATCAGGTCCTTTAACAAGTCACTTGTAACTCGCTGTGTTGTAGCATACTTCACGTATGAAATAAATAATGCAATATATAATCGAGGTCTCATCTAAGAGGTAAATACCCTATAAATTTGGATTTTTCATCCCAATTCCTTCACACTCAATAATGTAAGTGTCTTTCAAGGCATCTTCTTCATCTTCTGATTTTGTCACAGTAAATTTAGCCTGAAACAGAAGATTTGTCAGCATATAAGTAAACATAAAGAGGATAGGAGGGAAGAGCTTGCAATCTGACCTTAAGTAGACAAGAGTTAATACCAAACCCATCTGTTGAATAAGCTAGATACAAAAATCAAATGACTCATGAGAAATTCGACAGATGACACATTTTGTTCTAGAACCATGATTGTTCAGAGTACACATTCTTGGGGAGAATTTTGTTGTAATATCCTGCGTAGGCCCCACTCCATACACGCTGAATCAAAAATGGGAAAATTTTAATTGATGGTTCTAAAGCATTGTATCTCTCTGTTCTCTAAAATATTCCTAAAATATCGGTCTGAAACATTTAACTTTTACCTGTCAAGTACGAAATTATCACTTAAACTCAGTAGCTTTTTCTTGCCAATGTAATTCACTAACTACATTATTCAGATAGATCTAGTCAGAGAATGTAGGTGGAGAGGAGGAATGGTGGTGGTGACTAACAACTACTTTCATCTTTATAGGCCTTAACATTGTGTTTTTCACTTGTTAACTGAAAGTGGTTTTGAAATTTTGGATCTCTGTCATTGTATTGTGGAAACATGATCATTTGTAAAGCAAACTGGTTCATTTTAACAAAACTGAATAAAAATCAAAACAACTGACTGAGTTTATGGCAAAGAGATGTCACATAGCCCAGAATCTTAGGATTCTTTGAAATACAAACCATCACCGTGGGGCCTTACTGAACAGTAATGTTCACAAATTCCTTCAGTTCCAGTATTTCATGACAATGTACTGACCCACAGTAGTCATCTGAAATTACTGGGTAATGAACGAACATGAAACAGTGAGCTAGTTAACAAAAATTTCTGTGTAGTTTTATGTGTGTGTGTATTTTTCTAATTACAAACATTACGAAATATGAAACACAACTAGTTATGGAATTATTTCAAGACTGCGCTGATCATACTCAAGTTTCAGATTTTAGAGATGACTATGTGTACTGAGACAAAGAAAGATAAACTCACCCAAAGTCACTCAGTTAAAACAAAATGAAGGGCTGGGTATGGTGGTGCACACCTGTAATCCCAGCACTCAGAAGGCTGAGGCAGGAGGACTGTGAGTTCGAGGCCAACCTGGGCTATATAGTAAGACCCTGTCTCAAGAAACAAAACAAAACAAAAACACATGAAGCTGAATAAGACGTGGGATAAATCCCCAGTTCAGAGCACTTTTTACTTCAAGTAATATGGAAGTGCTGACTATATGCAAAGTACTGTAAAAATGAAGACTAATGGATAAACCGTGGAACCTACTATCAAGAGAAAACAGACAAGAAAGCATTACAAATAGTGAAAGTAGAATTAAAAAAATAGTTAAACTCACTTTTGTCATCAAATACAATGTGTTCAAATGTCATCAGCCTTTTCCAACTAATCAATTTAACCAAAATCTATCTATTCCCTATAATAACAAAAAAGAGAGGCCAGGAACAGTGCCCCATGCATATAATCTCAGCTACTTGGAAGGCAAAGACAGGAGGATCACAGCTTGAGACCAGTCTGGTCACACCTACAATACCAGCTAAGCTGGAAACAGAGGTAGGAGGACCACAGTCCAAGGCCAGCACAGGCAAAAGTGTGAGACCCTATTTGAAGTGAAAAAGGGCTAGGGGAGTGGCTCAAGTGCCAAGGCCCTGACTTCAAGATCCCAGTACCACAAGGGATTAAAAAAAAAAAAAAAGACAAGAGTATACATTATAAAAATCATACAAAGAGAGCAGGGTGACAGTGGCTATGTGCTCATACACATCTGTAATGCCTAATTTCCTTTTTTTAACTGGCGTGCATTCTTTACATAATTTAATAACTACTTAATGTGAATAACTTGTCATAGGTTGTCACCAATTTGATATGACTTTATAAAATTATATTATTAAAAAAGATACCAAAATAGAAATATGTGACATACTACTAGAAAAGGCAAGAAATGAAGCTTTATGTACTAACAGCAAAAAGCAGAGAGACAATTTGAGACAGGAGGAAACTATCTAAACACAACAGTGTTTTTACTGAAATGGAAATTCTAGGCAGGTTTTCCCATATATTTTATAAATTTTCTATGAAGAACATTAGTTTCATGACGAAATATACATATTAGTCCTTTTAAATTAAGAATCTTGCAGGAAGGGTGTAAGTATGAGCTTACAAATGTTTAAACTGTAAACTGGCTCTAACATGTTGCAGAGGTATGTGTGCTTGCGCCCCGTGGGTTCCCTGTGATCTGCTGTCACAGTTCCACTCCTCATCTTCTCTCTCTCTGCAGGCAGTGTCAGTGACCATAGCTACGCCATGAAGTACACTCTCCTATGTCTGCTCAAAGTCCAGCTCTACCACCAAGAAACCACACAGTGTAAGACCATCTAATACATCCATCTCTCTAGCTCATAAGCAATACAGGAAAATCACCTTCAATGGTTACGCACAAGATGCTTCGGATAAACTGCTGAGTTAGCTAAGTGTCTGTCACAGAGGAAACCTCAGTTTGTAGTTTCAATTACGATCACTATTGAGTTTTCTGTTTATTAAAATATAACCTAATTATTCTCTGTAATGGAATACTCACCTTTGCAAGTTGTTCAGCAAAATGAATAGCAGTTTGTGTATGGAGTGTAACTGGTCCTGTTTTTATTCTGGAAACTCCATTAGCTAAAGCCATGAAAATAATTAGCTATCAAAAAAAGAATAAAGAAAAATCTCACAAATTTAGTAATATTGTGAATTCAAATTCCGCTGCTGTCCATAAAGAAAATAGTACAAGAAACAAAATAGCTAGAAAATTCTATTTTTTTTTTAGATTTCCAGAAGCCCTTAGAAGAGGACAGAAAATCTGTATTACCCAAAGTCTATGGTATGGTAGAGAAGTGCTTAGCTAGAGTACTCAGCACAGGATTTTTAAAGTCAATGTTTAGGAACAACTTATGGACTGGGAGGTGATATATCTAATTAGACCAACTATCTCTCGAGGTGGCATATGTACTGTGCAAAATTCTTCTATTCTTCTAAAATTACATCTGAACAGGGGAATCAATAAGACTGATGCAAAATTACTGGGAATACTGAGTAGACTTCAGCATGAAGTGACCATACATAAGGAAAACTGTCTTCAGAAAAATGCCAGGAAATCTTGAATACATTTAATTCTTTTGTATTTTATTTTATTATTTTTTTTTTGCGGTGCCATGGATGGAACCCAGGGCCTAACGGATGCTAGGCAAGAAAAAGCGTACCACTGAGCCACTGAGCCCCACCCCAGCCTAAGCACTATACTTGCAAAAGAGGACTGCTGGCATGAGAGGAAGCAGAGAAAAGTATGGCAGAAAGGAAAACATGCAGACACCAAATCGTAGAAAGGTACGGCTAGGTGTGGTGGCACACCCCTGTAACTCCAACACTCAGGAGTCTGAAACAGGAGGATGGGGAGTTCAAGGCTAACAGCTATCCAACAAGACACTGTCTTGAAAAAAATAGGAAAGAAAGGAAAAGAAAGCAGGCAGAGGGATTCAAGTGATAAGAGCACCTACCTAGCAAGCACGAGACCTGAGTTCAAACCCCAGTACAGAAAAATAAATAAATAAATTACAAGAAAGAAAAGAAGGAAAGAATGACAAATCCTGGAAGAGGAGTTGACAGGTATAGGATGCAATAAATAGGAATTAAGAAGAGCCTGGGTGGTGATAAACCTGTGAGTCACCAGCACACAGATGGGATGTAAGACATGAAAATGGTCAAAATCACAGAGGGAGACAACAGATAGAAAGCGCTCTGAGCTCAGGCAGCAGGGCTCCTCAACACTTAGAAGTTAAGGAGAAAACAAAACACACTAGCCAAGGATGTATGGCCAGTGAGGAGAGAAGGTGACAGTACTTCAGAAACAGTGAAGAAAGGCTTTAGCAATTGTGCCAATGAGGCTGGAGATGTGTGGGGCTCAAGTGGTAGAGTGCCTGCCTACCAAGTCTAAAGCCCTGAGTTCAAACCCCAGTACCACCAAAACCATCAGCAATTGTGCCAAATGCTGGGCAGGTCAAGTAAAATGAGGGCTGAAATGTGAAGAATTATAAATTCCAGGAGAAAACTTAAAAGGTGATTGGGATAGGACTTGTTAGTCAAGGAGTGAAGGTCAATGACAACCATTTACACTTGATCTAGTTATTGAATGCTCAAATCCAACAGGCTGGAGGTGTCCTTACCTGGTCTTGTAGGTACTCATCCACAGTGCCACCATGTCTAAGGTTTGCTAACAGCATTTCAGCAGCTTCAATTCCCACCTTGTCCGCACTCACACCTAAGACAGGTGTAATATAAACAAACCTAAATTATTGAGAGGCAAAAAGTTTCATTGATATATCCCATGTAGCACTGGTATGACTTTTTCCAGTACACCTTTTAGGATAAGATCTTTAGTTATTTAATATTCTTAAGTTTGACATATGCAAATACTAAGAAGGGTGAAGCAGGCAGTTCACAAATTTAAGGCCAGCCTGGGCTACAGAGTAAGACTCTACCTCAGAAAACAAAACAAAATGTTTGTTGCCCTTACCAACAAAGGGCAAACTGACTTTCTGTACCCCTACATGCAATGCAGTGTAATGTGTACAAAATCCCCTATGCAACCGTCTTTCTAAAAATGTCTAATCTGAATCATGTAATCATGAGGCAATCACACAAATCTAAATTGTGAGAAATTACATGAAAATGGGCTGGACTTTTCAAAATGTCAGCATCATGAAAGGAAGGGAACATTCTGTACTAAAAGACTAAACACCTCTGACAACCAAATGTTTTGTGCACTCAAGTAAATGACACATTGTTCTAAAGTCTATCTTGAAGGCAACTTGCTAATCTAAGTATGTCCGGTGTGTCTGTAGGTAAACAGCCAAATTCTTCAGTGTAAGATGGCTCTGTGACTTTGTAGGCATTGTTTTGGGACATACATGCTACAGTGTTGAAGACTGAGGCATGCTGTCTTCACTGAGCAGTTCAGAAATATATACAGCAGTGGCTGAATGCTCATGACTGGTCCACCAGGAGAGGGTGTGTGGATGACCAGTTGAACTAGTCACTCAACTTTTCTATAGCTTTGAAAGTTTTCAAAATGTAAAGTTGGGAGAAAGATGTAAAGTTTAACTGACTCTGAAACAGAATTAACTGTGTGCTTTAAAATGTCAGCCATCATTCTCTGTAATATTCCACTACTGACTACTAAAGAAAGAATGCTGCAGCAATACTGGGAACCAATTAACACCCGTTCATTTATCTGTACCTCGTTTGCCAAGTGATGATCCAGCAAACAAACAGCCAGTGGATGTCTCAGCAATAATGCTGTAAGAAAAAAAAATATTACTACCTCCACTATAAATATTCTGAAGTTACATGCAATTGCAACACAGAAGAACAGTGACTGAGTAACATCCCTCGGTGCTTGACTGGGAGAAGTCACACCAGAGCTAATCTACTCACACATAAAGAATGCAGCCCCCTATCCCTCCCAGAAGTTATCGTGTCATCAGCAATAAGTGGAACCATTCCACAGCCATATAGTGTTACTCAGAATTCTATGGTCATCTGAAATAAAAAGGTCTTCATGAATGGATTTTGGGTTTTGTTCTATAGCTTTCAGATTCTATTATCATAACAGCAAGCACTTACTTTAAAACCAAAATATTCAAACTCTGAATAAGAAGGTTTGAAATTTAAGTATCCATGAAATACTTCAATAACATCAATTAAAGAAATTTTGTTATAACACTGAGAAGTGTAATTTCTAATGAGATTAATAGTTATATTTCTACTTTTGGCATTTTTTTTATCAGCATACATTAACAGTAAGGGGTTCTCTGAGATAGTTCCACAAATATATACATGTTTTTAAGACATCTTTAACATCTTTAAATTAGTTTCCATTTGAAGTATTTTAAACACCTGAAAATATTTCTCATAGGAAGGGTATCAAATTCTAACTTCTGATTAGCTTAAACATTTAAGTTCACAATAGTCATCCCTGGGTATTCATGGGTATTGGTTTCAGACAGGACCCCCACATGGACACCAAAAACCAAGGATGCTCAAGCCCTGTGTAAAATGGTGTATTACACGTAACCCATGCACATCGTCCTTTACACTTTATATCATCTGTGGACTATTTCTCACACCTAATATAATGTACATACTACATAACAGCTGCTACTCTATATTGTTTAGGGAATGTTAAGAAAAGTTCAGAGGCCTGGCGAAGTGGCTCAAGTGTTAGAGCGCCTGCCTAGCAAGCATGAGACCCTGGGTTCAAAGACCAGTACTGCCCCCCACCCCCAAAAAAAGAAAACTCCATGCATGTTTAATTCAGACACAATATTTTTTCCTAAATATTTTTCATCTATAATTGAATCCACAGATATGGAGGGCTTAGAAAGTAATAAGGATCTTACGAAAGTAATAAAAGGAAAACCACCCTCAGGAAAAAGTTTTTTTTGAGATAAGATCTTGCTATGTGGTTCAGGCTAGCCTCACACTCATGATCCTTCTGCCTCACCCTCTCAAGTAGCTGGCATTAAGGTGTGCACCACCACGATGGGTCAGAGCAATCATCTTTTTTGATTTTTGAGGCAAGGTCTCACTATGTAGCCCAGCCTGGCTTTGAAGATGCTATGTAGCCCAGGCATAGCCTGGCCTGAAAACTCACAATATGCTGGGCACTGGTGGCTCGCACCTGTAATCCTAGCTACTCAGGAGGCAGAGATCAGCAGGATCACGGTTCAAAGCCAGTTTGGGCAAATAGTTTGCAAGACCCTATCTTGAAAATACCTAACACAAAAAGGGTGGTGGAGAAGCACAAGGTGTAGGCCCTAAATTCAAGCCCTGGTACCACAAAAAACAAACAAAACTTTGCAAAATCACTAATCTTTAATAAATAGGAAAATTATTTCAGGACTCTCAACTAACATCTAAAAGCATGTTTCTCACATTATTCCATTTCCATTGCCAAATGCTTGGTCTTTGGGCTCCTGAACAGGCTGGATGTTAACATACAGATCCCTGACCTCCTTTCTGATGCATCTCACAGCTGCTGCCGCCATATCTTTGGCTACCTATTTTGGCAAGTGAAAAAGAGAAAAAAATTACTCATTGTTTATTCAGCTGTTTTCAAGCCTTTAAAGTAATTTAAACTTTTACATGCACTATTTAAGAATTCAGCTTTTAAAGTAGAGAGCATACTGAATTTTAAGAAAAAAAATTGTTTAAAGATATACTAAAAGAACATTCTCAGCCAGACGTCAGTGGTTCATGCCTGTAATCCTAGCTACTCGGTAAGAGATTGGGAGGATCTCAGTTTGAGGCCAGCCTAGGCAGGGAGTTTATGAAACCCCATCTCCAACGAAACGAGCTGCACATAGTAGTGAGGGCCTGTCATCACAGCAATGATGAGAAACTTAAAATAGGAGGACTGCAGTAGCAAAAAACAAGACCCTGCCAGGTGCTCACATCTGTAATCCTAGCTACTCAAGCAGCAGAGACCAGAAGGATCACAGTTCAAAGCCAGCCTGTGCAAACAGTTTGAGAGATCCTATCTTGAAAACACACAACACAAAAACAGGGCTGGTGAAGTGGCTCAAGCAGTAGAGCACCAGACTAGCAAGCATGAGACCTTGAGTTCAAACCCCAGTACTGCCAAAAAATAAGTAAAGAAAAAAGCAAGACTCTATCTACAAAATAACCAGAGCAAAAAGGGCTGGAAGCATGACTCAAGCAGTAGAGCTCCTGCCTAGCAAGCTCAAAGTCCTGAGTTCAAACCCCAGTACCACACACACACACACACACACACAAAGTTCCCTCAGTAATTTCAAATTTTAGATATCATCCTTATATAGGGGTGCACACACTTCTAAGAACATTTAGACTCTTACTTTAAATGGCAAAACACCAGCAACAAAAGCTCTTCCATGTATCTTAGTCACAGAGCCACGATCGGTTAAATTTATTGGGTTCAACTGCTTAACAGGTGACATCTGGATGATCACTTCACCACCCCCTTTCGGGTAATAGCCCCTACGAAGAGTATAACAAAACCCACATCAAGCACTGCGTAACAAAATAAGCTCACTAAAATAATATGAAAGATATAACCCATGCAAAGTTGTACATCATATTAGCTCTGGACTGTCACTATGGCAGCCTCAAGTTATAAGTTAACTTTTCCATTACTTCTAGCACAACAGATCGAAAGGGTTAAGAAAAAAGTAACTTACCTCATTTTAATATCACAATTAAATCTGAAACCAAATTTTTCAACAATTGGCTTGAAGACCTGAAAAGAAATCAGTTGTTACATTAGTCACCAATATCCACTAATTCAACAAGTATAATTATTAAACGAGAAGTGCTACAGGTAAATGGTGACAGCAAAAATACTTACACTGGTTCTTCTTTCAAGTGAAAAATCTGATACATTGATAATGTAAGGTTTAAGGCTTAGTTAATCAGAGCTGTGCAAGTCTAGATGATGAAAAACAATGAATCACAACTCAGCACACTGATGGCAGTAATTATTCTGCTTCTCAGGCCAATACTTACACTACTTCTCAATACAAAGTGCATGACAAGAAATCAGGAAGCAGTAACAAACAGCACTCCATCTGCATTCTCCATTCTTTATACAGTGGAAATCTCACCCACAAACAAAGCTTTATCTTTACTTCTTTCATTTCACATTACAAACACAAGCATTTTCCTGACATCATAAATTCTTCCTAAGCAATATTTGAGTGACTGTATGGCATTTGGCATAATTTACTATTCTCCAAGTTGTCAAGATTATACAATGATATATACAATATAATAATTGTAGCTTATACAATGCTCTGCTCAAATATCTTTAACATTTATCTTTTACTACATTTTATGACATTTAATTAGGGTAGCTTCCTTGAAGTGCAATTACTAGGTAAGGAGAGATTAACTTTTATTATACATCCTGTCACACTGACTTTAAAAAGATTATACCTTGCATTAGAATGGCAATGTTCCAGAGAAAGATGATATTTAACTGTAAAATCTAAGAACGCTCTTAAGATGTATTCTACAGATTTATTCACTTCTCAGGGTTATCTCCCATGTGTGCAGAAGGTACGGATACTACTAAACTTTTGGGTTTGTTTTTTTTAAAGTAAGGGTTGTGACTGCTGCAGTGGTACTGTCTTTGCCTGACAGGTACAAGGTCCTGAGTTCAATCCCCAGCACCACAAAGGAAAAAATAAAAATAGCAGACTAGAATAGAACAGAACACAACAGAATAGAACAGAATAGGCAGGCAGGACAGGGCTAGGGCATAGGTCAGTAGTAGGGCACTTGCCTAGCATGTATGAGGTCCTAGATTTGATCCCCAGCACCAGTGGGAAAAAGGGCAGGAAAAAGGTTAAAAATAAAGGCCTGAGGGCTGGAGGAGTGGTTCAAGCGGTAGAGCACCTGCCTAGCAAGCATGAGGCTCTGAGTTCAAACCCCAGTACCGCCACAAAAAAAAAAAAATAAAAAAATAAATAAAGGCCTGAGGCTACAAAGCGCTGAGCAAAATACAGAAACAGCAGTGAAAATGTACAACAAGGGATGACAAATGTTTTGGCAGTTTCTCAGAAAGTTAGATGTACACTCACTGTAACAGCCCAGCGATCCCATTCTTAAATTTGCCCAAGAGAAGTGAAAATGGAAAGTTACGTTCAAACAAAAGCCTACACATAAATGTCAGCAGTGACTTTATTCATAACTGCCCAAAACTGGGAACAACAAAAAATTCCTTTTAAGAAATGAATAAACAAACTGGCTCAGTCACAGAACAGAACCACTTAGGTTTTACTGCCGGTACAAATTACATCACGAGTCTCAAGTTTATTTTCTAACTGCAAAAGGCTATGTATAGTATCATTACTTTATATGACTTCTGAAAACAGGCAACACTATGACAGAAAACAAACAAGGAATTGAGGACAGGATTGTAAGAAAAACAATCTTTTCTATCAAAGTATATGTCACCCTTTAGATTACTTAAAATTCCTCAGGTCACCACCTTAGGTGACTTGCGTTATTTAAAGGGTTCCTGTTTCGTCTTCTAGATTCTTGTACAGCCCCATTGCCCACCAAATTACATGCCCTAACCAATCCCCTAAGCCTTTTAGCCAATCAAGAAAGATTGTGAACCTCTGACCTGGACAAATCCCAGGTGAGGGGCAGGTACAACTGCGTCACGGATATAAGAAGCCACTGTCAGCCATTTTGTGCTCACGTATCTGCTCAGCTGGAGTGAGTACATGTTTGCACACTTTTGATCAAAAGAAATTTCCTTGTCAAGATTTTCTGTCTCTCCTGTATCTGTTTTTGGCACCAGAGGATCTTTAATTCCAACAGAATTGATTACAGTATGAAAATTTTTAGAGTAATGAAATTATTCTACATCTTGATTGTGAAAGGTTGGTCCATGTTTGTCCAAAATCATAAAACTGCATACTTTAAATGGTGGTATACTTTAGTTGGAAAGAATTATGCCACAACTGCTGGGAACAGTGGTACATGCATGTTCTAGCACCCTGGAGGCTTAGGCAGGAGGAACTGGAGTACAAGCCCAGATCTGGGCTAAACAGCAAAACCCTGTCTCAAAATAATAATTAAAAAAAGAATTATGCCAAAATTAACCCGGAGGGTAAAAAAGTAATACAGCTTAGTATCCCATATCTGACATGTTCAGGACTGTATGTATTTTGAGTTATTCAGACTCTGTAAGATTTGCACATATATAATGAGGTATCTTGGGGATAGGAACCAAGTCTAAACACAAAACTTGCTTATTTCATAAACACCCTTTTTTTTTTTTTTTATGGTACTGGGGCTTGAACCCAGAGCCTACACCTTAAGCCACTCTACCAGTCATTTTTTGTGATGAGTTTTTTTGAGATAGGGTCTCAAAAACTATTTGCCTAGGATGGCTTTCATATATGCCTCCTGAAGGTAATTTCATACAACACTTTTAGCGCACCTACATTTTGACTGCAACATACTACATGAAATCAGGTGAGGAATTTTCCCCTTGTGGCAGCAGGCTTGTGCTCACAAAGTTTCAGTTTCGAACACTCTGTATTTCAGATTTCCAGATTAGGGATGGTCAACCTGCACCACTTAGATCTCCTACTAGTTGTACAAGCATGACAGTACTGAATTTCATCATTTGAAAAACTGTTGAGCTTCCTTCCCAATCACAATTTTTGTATTTATAAAATAACTGATTCATGTATTAACATAACTTATACAATAATTACACTTCAGGTTTTTAAAAAAAATTACTATGAACACTATTTTAATATATATCACAAAACTTAAATATAATTCCCCACCCTCCTCTGCAACAAAACTAGGCAGCGTGAAGGTACACACAGGAATAGATCAAAAACATTCAATATATATTAAGAGAATCGGTGAGATCATCCTTACCATCACAGTGTAATCGATCTGTGGTGCCATTTCAGCATTGGTTCCACCTTTCAAACGAAGCTCTGATGGAGACGCAGCAAACAGGACACAGGGCATGGAGACCTGCATCAAGAGGCACACACTCCTAAGGAGAAGGCAGAACAGGCTTAACTGCACTGTCTCTTCAAAGCCTCCAGAAAGTTGTATTATTCATTACCTACCACCATTACTTGAAGCACAGACAACTGAGCAGCTAAAAAATACTTCAGGCTAGGTATACTGGCTTAAGCCTGTAATCCCAGCTACTTGGGAGGTGAAGATGGAAAGGATCCCAGTTCAAGGCCAGTCCAAGCCAAAAGTTCATGAGACTCATCTCAACTGAAGGCTGGACACAGTGGTACAAATCTATCACCCCAGCTATGGGGGGAAGTACAAACAAGAGGATTGTGGTCCAGATCAGCCCGGGTTTGAATTCAAGACTAAATGCATTTGCTGTGTGATCTTGTTCTGACACTTTTCTTTATATTACCAACAAGTAAAGCATAAATAAATGACAAAAACAAATGCATTTATACAAAGATTCTTGAAAATGACACTTATGAAAATGCACTGAAAAGTCAAGAACTAGAAATATTCAACTGTTTATACATGAGTTGTCATCATGCACTAGTTACTGTTCCAAATATCAACTTGAGATACAGTTTCCACCACCGTGGAATTCATATGATAGAGTGACATTGTTTGTAATCACAATCAGGGATAAAATGGAGTAAGTGTGATAAAAGGTAAATATATTTTCCTGATAGGATTCTGTCAGTTTAATCTTTTGACCAGAACTTAATTATCAGCCTCAAACTCAATTCTCTTATTTTCCAATAAATTAGGAGCCAGAAGCCTAGACTCTAATTCCAGTTCTGACACTGACTCTATGACCTTGGATAAATTACTTAGTATGACTGATTTAGGCTTGACTTCCTAATTCATGAAGAAGAAGATTTAGAATACATGTTTCCTCTTAGAGTTTCAAAATTCTATGGCTTTGCATTAGTCAACTGAGGCACTTCACTATGACTTTCCCCCCTCCATTTGTATAGAAGAATGCCCAGAATAATACACTGACTGTAAAGATACCTCAAAATTCTTTAATTCCCTTAGGAAAGTTCTCACTTGGCAGATCTCATCTTAAGCCCAGCAGCAGATTCCTTCTTCAGAGGTCTACTTATCTCATAATTGAAATCAAGTATTATTAAACATTCATAAGCTAAAAGATCACAATCTATTCCTATAATCCTAGCAACTTGGGAGACTGCAATCCGGAAGACTGTGGTTTTGAGGCAGCCCAGGCAAAAAGTTCATGAGACCCCATGTCAACCAGTAGCTGGATGAAGTGGTTCAGATCAGGAGGATCAACTTCCAGGCCAGCTAGAGGGGAAAAAAGCTTGAAAGACCCCATTTCAATGGAAAAAAGTGAGATGCTATCTCCAAAATAACCAGAGGAAAAAGGGTTGGAGATATTTCAAGTAGCAGAGCACCTGACTAGTAAGTATGAAGTCCTGAGTTCAAACCTCAATACTGTCCTCTTCCCCCGACCCCCGACAAAAAAAGGCTGGGAGTTCAGTGGTAGAGTGCTTGCCTAGCATTTTTGAGGTGCTGGATTAGATCCCTAGCACTGCCAAGAACAAACTACCAAAAAAGGAAGCAACTGGACAAGTAGTTCAGAAAAGCAACCCAAAAATTAATTCCCCTCCACATTTTGTCAATAAACAGATACTTACAAAATGATACTCAAGTTAATGGGTAATTATTCCTTCATCCGGCAAAAAAAAAAAAAAAGGAAAAAGGTGGTCCCTATGCACGATAAACCATGATCCACCAATGAGGTAGACTCCAGTTCCATTTTCTCCAAGCATGTAAAAATTAGGATTCTACCTACAAATAGGACTGCATAAGTATCTGTTAAACACCAGTAATAAGCTCAGTGGTAGAACTCAAGAGTTCAAGAGCCCTGAGTTTGATCCCCAGCACTACCCAAAAAAAAATAAAAACAAACATACCTAGATTAAAAGTAGTAGAATGATTCACAATCAGCTATATGCCAAGAACTAGGATACAAAGGCTATAGAATGTGAAAACTCAAGTCAACTTGAGATACTCGACTAATAAAAAGTAAAGAAGTAAACAGTGCTCCCTCACACTATACACTCAAAATTCTAGATCTAGCCAGGCGTGGTAGTACATGCCTATAATCCTAGCACTTAGGGAATGAAGGCAAAAGGATCTTGAGTTTGAGGCCAGCCTGGACTACATAGCCAGACCCTGTTTCAACAAAACAAAATTTAAAAAACTTTCCAGATATAGTAATGGCTACAACTGAGCAATGAAGCACCCACAATTTTACATACACTGTCTTTAACCTTGAAAGACATTTTGCCTGCATTTAAAAGTGAGAAAAGTACAGTCAAAGCAGCCCAGTAAGTGAAAGCCTAGATTTGGATCCAGGCCTAACCCTGGATCCACACTTAACAGGACAGGTCAGTGGTACATACCCTGCTGTCTTGGTATCTGCTGTGTGGATTCCACCTTTGATCTTCTCTGGGGTGAAGGTTATTTCTGTTGAGCCAATTTCTGCCCCATCCAGCTGCCCATCACACAAATCTCGAACCATTTCCAGTCCAGACAAATGCTGAGGCCTTCAGGTCATAATACTGCATCAACACATGTGCATCCAGACTGCCTATATCCTACATTTTATGACACATTTATAAAACTGAAATGGCAAGAAAACAGCGAGGTCTAACACTAAGCGCTACATCCTCAATGTCTGAGCCTCTTTATGGGTTTTTACACTAACTGTAATGACATCATTTTAAAGGTTCCTTTAAGACCAGTTATTCCAGCTATAAACACATATGCTGATGACCTGTTGCAAATTTTTAAAAAGAGGAAAAGTAATAAAACTAGCCAAGAGCCACTAGTCTTGCATGCATTCACTGAATAATCTATGATACCCTAGTAGTGTTCTTCCAATATTCACTTCTGTCTTTGGAAACAGGGCCTTTAAATACACTTATTAATTTAAAAGGAGGCTCTTAGGGTGGGCCCGAATACAATCTGATTGATATCCTTATAGAAAGAGACTAGGACACACAGAGAAACTCCCTGTGAAAGGTGCAAGAGGGAAGTCATCGCCAGTGAAGAAAATGGACCTGGAACAGAACTTTCCCTTATGGCCCAGGGAAACCAACCCTGCCAGCACCTTGACTTTGAACTTCCAGCCCCCAAAATCTTAGAAAATAAATTTCTGCTGTTTAAGCCAGCCAGTCCTTTGTATTTTGTTATGGTAGCCCTAGCAAACTCGTTAAGTACCTAACACACGGAACTTTACTGAATTGGATTCCCTTGCTAGTGGAACCTGATTGCTGCAAACTGCCTTGACAAAGGGACAAGGTCCACTTATATCAGTAATTGCCTTTTAACAAACTCAAAACCGATTGTGAATAAGACAAAAGGATGAGAAGAACTGATATACAAAGGATTCAATGTGGCCTCAATCTGAGTCCCCTCCTAACAGATACATAGACCTGAGAACTCATCTAGTGGCATGCTCAGCTTCCCAAACAGAAGAAACAAGGTCAAGTGTTTCCTCCCCACATCAGTTCCCTCTGGTCGTACTCCCACCTTCCTGGACACCTGAATGAAAGCCGCAATAACACTTCCAGGATCCTTACCTGTTCCATGATTTTAAAACGTGCGATAGACAGCACAGAACGCACTGTGGGATTTCTTTCCTGTGGCCTCGGAGGCCGTTCTGCCCTCATCTATCTCAGTCGCGGGAACGTGCGATGCCCGATGAAGTAGGAAAACATTCTAAGACACGGCTCTTTGACAAATAAGGCAACAGCTGCAGCCAAATGAAGCAAGCCGGGGCCTATTTCTAGATTCGCCCCTTGGGACTTCAAGGCCTCACAACTGGGCCAGGAAGTAGGTCTGGGACGCTTTCCAGGACCCCCTCGAATCCCCACAGCTAGCCGGGACCAGGGCCCCTGTTCTCCGACTCCCGATCCCGGGCCCCGCCCCCGCGATCCCCAACTCGGCGGCTCCGGTCCCGGTCCCAAGACCCCAGGCCGCCCGCCTTACCTGAGGCCCGGGGTGCTGCGGCCTGCGCGGATCTTCTGCACCCGCAAGGGGAGCCCCAGCAGACAGCTAAGGGCCGTAGAGACCCTGAGGATCTGACCGCCCTGCAAAGGCCGGTGTGCGGATAAAAGGGACATAAGCCCATCACCCCGAAACCTCCCTCCCCGGCCTGGTACAGCCCCCCAGCGTTTGCCTCCGGCTCCGCACTCACCCCTTCCATTATCCCGCCATCCACCTCCACCTGCTGCCCCGCCATGACGAGCGCCCTGGGCCCCGGCCCGCAGCGACCACGCCTTCGCTGAAGCAGCAGAAAGAGGAGGCGCACGCTGCGCTCCACAGCACGAAACCTCGGTCACAGCGCCCGGGACTGCGCGCCTGCCGGAAAACGGAAGAAGCGGTGCCTCACGGGAAACCCGAATCCCCGGATTAGACAGCCAGTGCGCATGCGCAGTTCCTAGCGTTGCCGGCGTCTCTCCCAGCGTTGCGGCCCGGGATTCCCATCCTGCCCCGGAAATGAGTTGGCTGGGCCTATGCGTCTTGGGAAGTGGCCAGAATTGTGATTCTGGAAATTTTGAGCACGGAAGACAGCAAATAGAAAATCTTTTCAACTATAACTGAATCCTCCAGTGGTCCCGCACACTTGTACTTTCTCGATAAACGTGTGTGTGTGTGTGTGTGTGTCTTTGTACACCCAGAACTGTAGACTTTGAGAGCTGAAGATGTAAGAAAAGTCCGGACCCTACAATGCACCAGCTACCTTGATGCATCCCTCCTCTGATTAGCCTTCTCTGCATCCGTCAGAAGGTTGTGTCCCCTGGTGTATTGATTGATACTTGTACTGCTTCATTCTCCGGGGTGCGTGTGTTTGCATGTATAGAGAGTTTAGCAGCTTTTGTTCGGTTGTCAGACACTCTTTGGGGGTGGTGGGAAGAGCAGAATCAGTCATACAGTACTTTGAAAGTCCAAGCATTGACCTGTTTGAGAGTGAGTGCAAGCTCTTAACTCCAATGAACAGCACAACTCTTGGGTCTAGAGACCTAAGGCAGATGAGTGAGTATCCCATCCCCCACGGAGGGCAATATCATTCCTACATCCTGAGGAGATGGAGGTCTGCATTCCTGCATCCTAAAGAAGAGATACAGATCTGCCACAGGGCTGATGAGCAAAATGCTCTCAAGATTGTTCCCTTCCCCCAATAAGGGTGCTAACCAAACCAGTTCACCTAAGAAAGCCCTCGAATCCATGGCCAATGAGAAAAACCCACCTAACCCAGAGTTACAACGTCCATAAAAACCCCAGCCTTCACCTGAGCAGCAAGCTACCGGCTTCTAGGCTGCGCTGCAGTGCTCAGCTGTAGCCTTTCCTTTCTCTCTAATAAATCCTACTTTATATACCGGCTTTGACTCATCATACAGCTGCCTCATGAGCCAGTGCTCTGGCCTGTGAAGGCAAGGACCCTCAACAATGGCACGTAACACAACTCACATGATTCAAGCTGAAGCTGAAACAACAGCAAGCTTCTTGATTCCTACTGGGGGCTCAGTTCCCACCTTATTTTAGTTCCAAATAATATGCAAGCCTCTAAGTATGCAATGAAGAGGACAGCATTTAATAATACCTTAAGACTACTGGAATTATAATGGGAAGTCTGAGAAGTTATCGATTACATTGTCATCCACACAAAAACAAGTAACTAGCAGGGCATGGTGGTGCACACTTGCAATCCCAACTATTTGAGAAGTAAAGGTAGAAGGATCAGGGGCTGAGGCTAGCCTGACCAGATCCTATCTGAAAAATAACTAAAAAGTAAAAAGGGCTGGGGGGCATAGCTTAAATGGTAGAGTGCAAGCATGAGGTCCTGAGTTCAAACTCAAGTACCATCAAGTAAATACATACCATGCTTATCTTACGGTTTATTAAGGGACAACAATTAAAACAAGACAAAGTATAATATTAACAGCCAGTGTTTATTGAACACTTATGTGCTTTGCACCATGCACTGTGTTCATGCACAACTTGATCAAGTATCATTTTTTACTGTTTTACAGCTTCCTACTGTAACTAGAAGCCCTAGGCCACAGGCCCAACTCTTGGGTGTTGTAACATGTCAGGCTCCACCCCTATATGACAATTAAAGAGCCAAGTAGTGATGAAAGGCAGAGACTTAGTAAACACTGGGTGTGCTTGGGAAGAGGGAGAGTAAGCATTTCAGCCATCTTCAGTGAGATTTATGTTTAACTAGAGGGAGAATTCGGATGGGGACTAGGCTGTTCTGGTCAAAGTGTGGTCAGGTTGGGCATTATCACAGTTTTTGCAAAAAACAGGACTTGAAGTCCTTGAAGTCAAGGAGTTGAAGTTGATACAGCTGTGGTCTCAGTCCCTTACCATAAAGATGTTTACTGGATGTCTTGGAATCCAAGTTAACTGTGGGAAGAAGAGAGTCAGGAAGAAAAAGTCAAAGAAACAAAAATAGAGTCAGAGATGGATGAAATGTAGTTAAATGGGGGCAGGGACCAGGACCCTCCTTCACTAGTTCAACAAGGTCACAGTTGTTAACTAAAAGAGTAAGAAATGAGTCTAGATGATTTGATATAAACACCACTGCCTCCTAATCTTAGTACTTTTCTGACAGAATATCTGGAAACATATAGGTCATTTAATCCAATCTGGGGTTTGCTGTAAAATACTAATTAGGGCAGTAATCATATTTGCATTTTAGAATGATAGCTCTGGCAGTTTGAGAGAATTAGAAGCCTCAGAGCCTGAAAATAGAAATGCCAATGATGCAATTGTCCAGGTAAGTGATAATGAGAAGTTGAAGCAAAACTGTTGTAATGAGAATGAAACATAAAAGCTGTACTCTTGAAGGTGTTCCCCTCCTCCCCCTCCCCCCCAGCCACTGGCACCAGCTTCCTTTTCAATTTCTAATCCTTGCATGAATTCCTGGCTCTGACCCATTTGCTCCATTCTAACTACTTCCAGTGGTAGAAGGAAGTGAACAAGATGGTAATATGATGAAGGGATTAGCCAGGAAGAGTGGACAATAATAAGCATTTGTATAGTGCTATGTCAGTGGCCACAGCAAAACTGTGGGGTTGGTGTTCTTGTCTCTGTTTGGCCAATGAGGGGCCAAGGCCTAGAGAAGTTCACTTTTAAGAGAATTGAAGTGACATTCAAGATGACATAATAAGTAAGTGGCAGAGTTGGGTTAAATCCTGGTTCTTTTCAATTCTCTATAAAGAAAGGACAGTTAAAGTAACATTAGATTCCTCAACAGAAAAATGGAAGTCAAAAGGACCATGGATTCATATCTTCAGAATTGTAACAGACAGTAACCATCAACCTAGAATTGGGTACCTATCAGAATTATCTTTCAAAAGTGAGAGTGAAATATAGAAATAAAATAATTTCCATATTCACCGAAACTGAATGTAACAATCTACATGTACTTTCTAAAGGGTATATGCACTTCAGAAATAAAAATTATCCCAAAAGGAAAGATTGAGACAAGAAAAAATGATGAACTAATAAATTATAAACATGTAAGTGAATTTGAACAAACATTACATAAAATAACAATAGACAACAAAAGTATGTAAGTGAAGAGGTGGATAAGAAAAGTGCTAAGATCTCTCTTTGAAGTTAAAGCATAAATTAAGACATAAGAGTTGAGTCATAATTTAAGACTCAGGTAAGCATGCATGGCAAAATTTCAAAGGTGACCCCTAAAATATGTATGACTTTCAACCCAGCTGAAGGGGAAGAAATGGACTAAATGAAAAATATACTTTAGTTAAACAAAAAATCCAACACCTTAATCAGCATAAAAAAGCAGGATAACATGGGTGACCTTTTAATTCCTGCTATTTAGTAGACTGAAGCTTGAGCTCAGGAGTTCAGGACCACCTGTGCAACATAGCAAGACTCTTTAAAACAAAATTTTAAAGAAAGTACTAAATAAAGGGCAAATAAAGCCACATTTATCAGTAACAACAAAGTAAATAAACTTTCTGGTTAAAATCAAGAGGTTGGTTTTGTTGGGTCTGGAGACCTAAGGCAGATGAGTGAGTATCCCATCCCCCATGGAGAGCAATATCATTTCTACATCCTGAGGAGATGGAGGCCTGCATTCCTGCATCTTCAGGAGAGATACAGATCTGCCACAGGGCTGATGAACAAAATGTTCTCAAGATTGTTCACTTCCCCCAATAAAGGTGCTAACCAAACCAGTTCACCTGAGAAAGCCCTTGAAATGCAAGGCCAATGAGAAAAACCCCCAACCCACAGTCAAAAGGTCCATAAAAACCCCAGCCTTCACTTGTGCAGCGAGCCACCGGCTTCTGGGCTCTGCTGCAGTTCCCTAACTGTAGCCTTTCCTTTCTCTCTAATAAATCCTATTTTATATACCGGCTTTGGCTCATCATTCAGTTGTCTCACAAGCCAGTTCTCTGGCCTGTGAAGGCAAGGACCCTCGACACTGGCACTTGACAACTTAACCTCACAAAGACTAACTTTTCACTCTACTGACGTCTGAAGTTATATAATCAGGACTTGTATGAATACAGAAATCCTACATTAAAAACTCCTGCTACTTGATAAAAAAAGAGAGAGAGAGAGAGAATGGGTTAAAACTAACATGCCATTTACGAGAGACTCACCTAAAATATTAAGGATCACAAGAAATTGAAAATGAAATCATGGAAAAAGATGTACCAGAGAAATGCCAAGTAAAAGATAGCAGATACAGCTATATTCATGACAAAATTAGGCCTTAAAACAGCTCCTGCCTTCTGTCTGCCCACCTGCTGCCTCCTGCCCTCCCCAACTACTGGGTGCCATGCTCTGCAAGGTTCTGATCCTCTCTGCCTTGTGTGCTCTGGCTGTGGCTTTCCCTATACCATCCCAAGCTCCTCTAGACTCAACAGGTGAACTAGACTCAACTGGTGAGCCAGAGTTAACAACTTACACATGGGGATCACCTCTGAAGTAGTCTTAA